GTAATATTAGCTAACATTGTTAGCTAACATTGTTAGCTAATAGGGTAATATTAGCTAACATTGTTAGCTAACATTGTTAGCTAATAGGGTAATGGGTCACACCAGTTCAAAAGGCTTGTTGCAGCAAAGCCCTTGAAAGCACCAGACTTGTGTGAATATGAATTCATATTTAATCTTTCATTTATATGAAGTTTAGACAAGAAAATGGATGGATGTGCACTTTTCTGCTAGGAAAACAGGAAATGGGCGCAGGAATTTACTAAATCATCCAAATGTACATCGAAATAACGCAAAAGTAGAGCTTGTGAACACAAGCGGCACAGCCTGATCTCTCTTAGGCAAGCTTTCTTGTCATTTCAGAAATAGTTGTTGTTTTGAAGGACATACCGAAGATCTTTGGATGTTGGCTGACTTTAGTTGAGTTTTCTCTTAGAACCTTGAACTCTGGGTTCTATCCAGCAGTGTGTTTGGGATAACTGTCATGTTGGATCAAAGTCTGACTGTATTTTCAGTGTTTATAGTTCCATCAGTTTTAGCAAGATCCCCAGCTCCAAATCATAATATAGCCTCCACCATGTTTTACAGATGGTTCTACAGTCACAGTTGTACCTCTCTCCTAACCTCCTCCACAAAGATTGACATCCACCAAAAATTTCAAATCTGGATTAATCACTTCATAAGACATGTTGCCACTTATTTTCAGTCAAATTTTGGTCTAATTTGACATACCACAGGCTCTTCTCTCGGATTTCTTCCCTGTTACCTTTAAAGCTATTTAAAGTTAGCTATTTTTTTGAGATTATATATTAATAAATAATATCATCATCATAAATATATATTATTAGAGTAATTTTACCATTTCACTGTCTGTAATTGTAAAAATTTTTCCAACAAACTTGAATTCTCATAAACCTAAAATGAATCTACTAACATACATAACATTGCCAAAGATAGAGGGAAAAAAAGCTTGTAGGTGTTTGTGTGCCATGGAGGCAAATTTTAATTTGTGCCAACACTTTCAGAAAGAAGATATGAGGGAGCATAGCTTTGTTTTATCTTCGGAGGTCTCCTTCACCAAAGAGGTGAAAACATGAAGGAAAGAAACAACCTGACCGACATTTTAATAAAACACCATCTCATCCCTCCTCATCTCAACAGTCAACTCCAGAAGTAAAGTTGGGGCTCTAACACACTAAAACGGGCATGAAAATGTTTCTCTAATCCCAATATTTCACAATTACTTAATGTTAGTAGTAGCGGTAGGAATCAACAAAGTACAAATACTTTGTTACTGTACTTAAGTGGATCTGTAGCTGTACTTATTTTCTGACAACTTTTTACTTTTACTCTGTAAATTTTTCTGAAAATAGTTGTACTTCTTACTCCTTACATTTTCAAAACAGGCTTATTACGTTAGGTTCAACGGTATTATTTATAGCATTCATACTTAGTTGTCCATAAGTTGTGGTGGCCTGTCATCAGCTTCTAGCTGGCGCTAAAGAAGAGGAGC